CCCCAAAACCCCAAAACCCCAAAACCCCAAAACCCCGAAATAGAGGGTGAGAATTGGTGTTTATAAATTTAAAATTCAAAATGAAAATTGCACAGCTGAATGAAGAGAGCCAAACTCTTGTGTTAAGAGAGCAATCGAACCCTATTAAGTAAGAAAGGTAGTAACCTTTAGTCTTCAAATTAGAGAACCTAAATTTGAGGAGCATAACTCCAAAGCCAAAACTTATCTGACAAAAATTGTAGAAGGAAAAGTTGTTACTATCACTATGGCTATATAGTGACGATTTATGCACTGATTGGGGATGATCTAAGGCTCTGGACTATGGATAAATGGGTAGATATTTACTTCTATTCCGGTCTAATGATCTGCTTCATACTTTTCACAGTTGAGATAATCTTGAATTCAATAGCTTTGGATGATTTCAAATACTCATTCTACTTTTGGCTAGATATCATTGCAACTCTGAGTCTAATTCCAGATATAATTTGGCTATCAGAGATACTGAACTTCTTAATAGGAAGTGGCTCCTATTACGATTCTGTGGATGTAACTCCAGGAACGATTAAGAATGCAGGTCAGAGTATCATTGATACTTCAAAGATTGTGAAATCCCTGAGACTTATCAGAATGATACGTATCATCAAACTCTACAAATATGTCTCCAAGACCTCTGAGTTTAAAGGATCTGAAGGTGGAGAAGGAGATCAAGTTGAAGAAGCTGATTTTAACAGAAAGACAGATCTAAGCAAGCTTTGTCGGATTTTATCTGACATGACTACAAGAAAAGTTATCATTATTGGAGTCCTCCTCATGCTCATGCTTCCTTTGCTGACTTATTCACAACTTGATTACTCAGGAAATTATGGTTTGAGAGAGCTTTTCTGGTTTGGAAGAAGTAATTGAGTAGACACTTCAAAAGATTTCTATTGTGAGCCTGGGCAATCTTGGATAACACAAGATGGATGGAATCAGCTTACAAGACAGTTTGTCAGCCATAAAGATGAAAGTGAAAGCAGTGGGATCGGAGTACTCTGGATTTATGCACCTGATTACACTCAAAACGGATTAATGAATGAAATAAAAACAATTCCCAGCGTTAATACAAGCGGGAATTATTGGGAGGCAAACAAAGACTGTGGAGGGTTTGAAATAGACCATTCAAATTGTGACCTAAGAATATCAGAGATGGACATTATCTCTTATAAACCTCAACTATGTGAAGACCAAATTGTCCAAGGCTGTGAACAGTTAGTTGCTTACAGTAGACTTAATATTAAATAAGGCTTCTCAAGAGCAAGCTTCTCTGCAATTCTTCACCACGATCTTCACCTGAGTCTTTATTATGATAGGTTCTATCTCCTTCAATATTGACACTCAAAGGATGGTGAATAAGCCTATCACAAAAATAGTTGAGATTATCCGAAACTTTAATAAACCAAATCCGATAGATGACAAAGAAGAGGAAAGTTCCCATATGAAAACTAAAATGATCGAACTAGCTATTTTTAAAATCTCAATCCTACTCAAAAGAGGTTTTGGCGAGCTTGGTGCAGAAACAATATCTGAGAACCTCAAGATCGAAGATGAAGACAAGAAACAAATGCCCGGCAAAACCCAGTTTGCCATTTTCCTCTCAGTCAAAATCAGTGAATTTGATTACATAACAGATGTTTTACAGGAAGAAATTATAGTCTTCCTTAACAAAATTGTAAGAATTCTGCACGAAACGGTCAAAAAGTGGGATGGAGTTGCGAACAAAAACTTCGGCGATAAGTACTTATAATGACCTGGCTTCTTCCAGAAGACCATTGGGAATCAATAACCCAAATGAAGTATAAAATGAAACTAAAATCCTGTCGAATAGAGAAAGAAATCATAGAAGAACGCAAAGGTGATGCCAGAAGTCAGAAACTCTCCGAAGAGAATCCCTCAGTCACTGAGTCTGAAAGCGAGAAGAAGAAGAAGAAAAAGAAGAAGTCCAAAAAGGCCAGACGTGAAGAAGAAGAACGGAAGAAGAAAGAGGAAGAAGATCGCATCAGAAGAATAGAAGAACTCAAACAGAAGCAGGAAGAGGAGGAACGTATCGTGATTGATGAGGAGATACAGCAGGTAGCGGATAAGACACTTGTTACAGCTATAAAGATTATTAGTGAGGTCAGGAGAGCATCTGATCTCAGCGCTTACGCAACCCATCCGAAATTAGGCTCGAAGTATAACAATTTTCGGACCAGACTTTCCTGATCGATGCATGTCGGATCTTTGATAGAAGGAGTTATAGGATCAAACTTTAAGATTGATCATTTGTATCTCCCATCTTCTCTTTCTAAGGTAATATTTTGTGATAACTGGTCTAGGTCTGAGATAAGCTGCATCATCTTTCAGAAGATCTCTATAAGACTACTATTATTATGAGTGAAGATTTTAAGAATTGCTTATCACAAGCAACTCAAAAGATTAGCTTCACTAGACCTGTGCCAGAGGGAGAGATTGAGAGTGAACCTCAAAAAATCGCCATGAAATCACTTAGAAGTATTGATAGAGTTAAAATTCTTGACGAAGGGAAAGACACAGGTAAAAGATATTAATAACTTCTAGGATACCCAATAGATCTTTATTCGTTTGACATCAACCCGAATGAGATTGAGATCGAAATTCCTGAAGAGCATGAGCTTGGCGACATTGTGGTCACCTCTGAAATGGAGGAATTTGTTGACCTAGAAATGGTCAAGAAGTTTCCAATCCAGAGCATGTTTACCTCTGATGAGGATATCTATACTCTTCAAATGCATAGAGCAAATAATGACTTCTATATTGAGTTTGAAGCAGCATTGGAAGCTTATATAGAAGGAGACTGGAACTATGCTATCAATCAAATTGAGAAATGCCTTGAAATAGACCCTGAAGATGGGCCATCTCATCAATTAAAGGACTTCATGACAGAAGATAATAAGATGGAAGTGCCTGAAGACTGGCTTGGTTATAGACTGGTAAATTAATAATCCTCACTTCTAGTTCCAACCTCCAAATCTTATGAGAGGCCCATTTGGTGATTCGGAAGAAGGATCATTACCATCAGAAGAGAGTTCAAGTGAAGAAGAGCCTAACAAGTATTAGGTCATGAGGCAAGGAGTTTCCAGAAACTCCTTAAAGAATAGGCTCATAATATTAATTATTCAACAATGAATAGCCAAAGAGGGGTTTTGGGGTTTTGGGGTTTTGGGGTTTTGGGG